ATAACACAAAATTGGGTGGGATAGCAAATATCCTGAAACAACATTCAAGGTAATCTTGATAGCTTGGACTGCTGGGATGAAAACAATATAATGACTTAGGAAAAGAAACCAAGTGCATAGTTACAAAACAGGAGATATTTGGCTTTACAATACTGCAAGTGCGAAGAAGTTTTTGCAGTTTACAAGGTCAACAATGTGATGTGGCTACCAAAAGAATCGAATGAAGGCAAATGCCATTTTGGGCTGCATTAACAGAAGTATCAACTGCAAATCACATGAAGTTCTAGTTTCTGTCTACTCAGCATTGGTTAGACCTCAGCTTGAGTACTGCATCTAGTTCTTGGCACCATTGATTAAGAAAGGCACAGACAAACTGTAAAAGGTTCAGAGGAGGGCATCAAAGATGATTAAGGGACTGCATACAAAGCCCTGTGAGGAAAAATCGAAAGAATTGGATGTGTTTAGCCTTGAAGAGAGAAGACTGATGGGAGATACGATGGCACTCTTCAAGCACTTGGCAGAGAGGACAACCAAGATCTCTTCTCAATCATCCCAGGATGCAGGACATGGAACAATGGGTTCAAGTTACAGGAAGCCAGTTTCTGGCTGAACATCAGCAAGAACATCCTCACTGTTAGAACACTACAACAATGGAACCAATTGCCTCAGGAACACTGGAAATGCAGCTGCACAGTCATCTTTTAGGGGAGGCTTTATTGGTTCCTTCCAACTGTACTATTCTATGATTGTAGCCACCACCCTGCCTTTGCTGCCTGGGTTTGTGTGTACTACCTATGGAAAGATATGAGCAATTGGAAGAGAATGTTAGACTCTTTCTCCACTGCTGAGGTCTTGCTGAAATATCTCTTTGCATAGGAAAGGAAGCCTCTACTGGAACCACCTTGGAAGGAATCTAATTTTCATTGTATGTTCTAACTGTGTTCTGAGCTCAGTAATTAGACTTTACAAAACTGTACAAACATTAAACACATGGTGAAGGGGTGCTGGAAGGGTCAGAATACTGAACAGCTCTCCCTCCCCCATTCCATGTGTGCCACTGGATTCAACCCGTGATTTTAGCTGTATGTGCAGAGGTCAGGGGACTGACCCAGTGGCGTGTGTGACATTAAGGGAAAGAACTGCAGAGCCGTTCTGCTTCCACCTTCATTTTATTTGCTTTCTATCTGATTCCTCCATTTCCATTTCCCACAGAAAACTTGTTTGGGTGAGCAATAGATCCTATCACATTAATTTCAAGTTAAGCACATGATATCACAAACTGAATTTCTATCATATCTCCAATCAGATTCCTTAAGTTTTGTTATCTTAGCAATTCTGTCTACCTTTTGGACTGAGCTCAGGTTTTCTATGACTTCTGCACAAACAGATTTCAGAAATTCATCTGTCACTGCATCAATCTGCATGAAGCAGAAGAGAAAGGAAGGCTTGCCTTAGATACCCACAAAGCTACACTCTCCCCAATACTTATTGTTGTTTTGACACTGATTTCATCTTTTTGAGACCAATAATTCTTGTAATGTGAGATGCAGGCTTGGTGCAAACTTTGCAAACTACAGACACACATTTTCTCAGCATCATGGAAGCTTCTTCACTGTGGTCCGATTCCCTGATATAGAGTAGTGTGCTGCCTGGCTGGGGAGAATTCATGTAACTGACCCCACTTATGTAGCTGTGCTATTCATGAAAAATTCCCAATGGAGTGATAATGAGCCACTGAAGGAAAGCTTGGGATGTAGTGATAGCCACCAACTTGGATGATTCCAAAAGTATATCAGACAAATTAATGGAAGATGAGGCTGTCAATGGCTGCTAGTCATGCTAGCTAAGGATTACTTCCAGGATCAGAGGGAATACAGTTCTGAATACAAGTAGCTCTGATAGCTGCCTTTCCATAGTTGGTCACAGTGCGCAGACAATGCTGGACTGGATAGGTTGAGCCAGCATGACCGTTGACATAGTCACATGTCTGTGCAGGAAGCCTCACCATTACACTGACCTTCAAAGCCTCTCCACTCATCATTCATTCATTACCTTGCTTACTGTAAGATGAGCCAATTGTTACCACACTCTGATGGCTACAGTCACTTTTGAAAAGTAGACATTGACTTATTTATTTATTTAAGTATTTATCGAACTTGTGTGCTGCTCCATAGCCCTGGGGCTCTCTGGGAGACTCATAGGAAAAAAAAGAGCTCATATTGAACACCGGGCTCGAATAAACGTCAGATCTGAACAATGTTGAACAGAGAAAATTCGCAGTGGGTATTCATGTAATTGGTTACCCTTTGCACATTTAGCAATGTTTCTATTGCTGAAGTTAGATGTAGATAATGAAACAAGAGAATAGTATAAATATGGAGAAAATAACATGAGAATTCTGTGTAGTTATACCACTTAAGTGTCATGTAGAAACTACCACTGAAAGGAACATACCTGTGCATTTACTGCACAATCAGGCTGGCCCAGTTTAGTGAGAACACCCTTTGCTGCAATTATTACTTTTCCCTGTAATTTACTACCAACCTGAGTAAACCTGATTTGATTGAAATGGCAATTCAATGATGCTAAAAACACCTTGTAAATAAGATGAGTCATCCGAATTGTGCATCCTAGATAAATATCTTTAAATAAATAACTACAGTGCTGTGCAAACATCATTCAAAAATGCAATTAAACTTAAGACTTACATTGCACCATAAAAAAAGAGCACCAAAGCCAAGGATTTTCAAATGAAGTTTCTTCTTTAGTTTGATACCCTCAAGGTCATCCTGTGGTGACTTCATTTTTCATAGTCAAAATAATGATTTAGTAATAATGGGAGTAGTCGACAATAGGATCGTGTGCCTTCAATATAATGATATTCAGTGTTGCATAGGATAATGTATGGGCTATTCTTATTCATGTTTTTTTATTGCAGCCATACAAAATGGATTCATCTATTAGATAGTCCCTTGCATCTCATTAAACACATTGCAAAGGGGAAAAGAAAAATAAAAGCAGAGGAAAAGCAGCATAAAGCTTTAAAACTGAGGCTAAAGGTTTTTGTTTTCTTCACAAAACAAAGGTTCAGGTGTAAACTCTTACACCATACAAGAAACCAAGGCAGCCACATTGGCCCTACAAAAACACAAATAATGTGTGAGCTTTCAAAGTCTCATCATATGGCAAGTTATACCTGCAGTAGCAAACAACCATATTTCATAAGATATTGTCTTTGCATTCTCAAGAACGCTGCACTGGACAGAACATCAGGGGAATTGAATGGATATGAAGGTTAGCACATCTAACTCTTTGAAACTTCTGCATAGTTACTCCTGAAACATCAGCCTGTTCCATTTGGACCACCCTGTGCCATAATCAGATGCAAATAACGTTGTCCCAAATGACTTACACACATTATACCATAAAAGGAACACAGGAAATGGGTGAAAGGCCATTCTTCCAGCAGCTCTCCTAGTCACAAGAAAAGATCCAAGGTTAATGAGACAGAGCAAATGGCTGGCAGTGTCAACAGCAAAGCACAAAGCCAGTGTTTCTAGCTAAGGAAGTGAGACCAAAAGAGTTGAGAGTACAGAGCTCTATTAATATTATCTTAAGCTATTGTGCATGCAATGTCACAGTACTTGCCAAGAAACCAGATCATTAAGTGCCTCCTCTACAGGAATGCATGGACTGGCTGAGGGCAAGCACATGGAGGCTTCATCCAGGCAAGACTTAGTCAAAAGGCAGACCAGTGATGAGGGATTCATACTGTGTTGGATAAGGCTACATTCCTCTTGAAGATGGAAGGAACCAGCTTGGAGATAACCCTGAGGTTGGTCCTAAAACTGGATGCCCAGATTTCAGTGGAGAACCACAATGCATTTGCCCAGCTAGGACTAGTGCATCAATTGTACTGATTCCTAAAGATGTCAGGTTTTGCTATGGTGACACATGGTCCAGCCAGACCAGTCACAGTGTGTGCATGACTTCCTCATTTCAACAGCTTTGCTGGCTGCTGGCCAATTTCTAGGCATAATTCCAAGTGCTGGTTATATAGGTCATTGTAACACTCTGAAGTTGGACCAAGCTATTTGAAAGACAAGGACACATAGGCCTGTGATCAGGGATGGGTCGGGTAGGTGCCTCTCCTCTGCCTCTTCTGAGCAGGACATTCAACAAGAAGAAATTATTACTGTTGATGGGAGCAGGATCCATTTAAACATTTAAATGCAGTCAGTGATGAATACAATATAAGAAAAAGAGACTTATCCTGCATAAACTAAATTCTTATTTTACCTACTAGAGCACTTAAGAGTGTTTTTGAAAGAATATTCAGGTTGCAGTGTAGAGCTGAAATGCCACATGGAGAAATCTTGATTGTGTGCAGGACTCCCATTTTAGCAGCAAGATCCAAAAGAGCAAAGATTGGATGGCCTACAAGAAATTATCTCCTTAGAAACACTGGTTGGTAGGAAGAAATTTGACACAACAAGCTGCCACTAGACTGGGTGAGAATTTGTTGGCATAAAGGGGAAAAGACTGCCTAATGAAAACGATTGTTAATTTCTTTCTCTGTGTGGTGTATAACCATCTATTGTAGGTTTAAAGTTCTGCAAACCTCATTTCATTATGTTATTCTGGCCTCACAATTTCAGCCTTTTCAGCACAAAATGACTTGCCTTTTATTTATTTTCTTTCTTTCTCCCCTCCATGTCATTTTGGCACATAGCAATCTCCATTTGTAAAGTCACCAAACACTTACCTGGCAAAATAAAGCTGAGAAAATCAGATTTCTCCCCCTCTCTTTTTATGAAAAGGCCAATTGCCTTTTTAAACCGTTCCCAGAGAGCACTGATGTAATGTAAGTCTATTAATAGTGATTGCAAAACAAACATTTATTTGGCTTTAGAAAACTTTGGCTGAACAGCAAATGCTGGAGTAGAAATCAAGCCAGAAAGCCATTTCAGCAATCTGGAAGAAATATTGAGACAATGTACCTGCATGACAATAAGAAGGTCAAACACTAAGATGAAGGAAGCCAAAAAGGCCCTTGAAACCTCATCACTTGGCAGGAATCCACGATTCAGCTTGTCCCAGCTGATCCAGTCAGTTGTGATGACAAGCACAACCACTGAGGTCAAAGTCAAGAGAACAGTCCTGAAAAAGGGAAAGTAGAAAAAAGTAAAAGGTCATCAAATCACAGAGTTAAGGATGGGACAGATTTCTAAGGTCACTTTTATTTGCCCTCTAAATAAACAGAAGCATTCTCATACACTTGAAACACAACTCAGCTCTTTACTTCTAAAATTATGCCCCATTTTCAAAACACAGGGGGAACCATCAGGAAAACTACTGAGAACTTGTTGAAAGCAGGGCAGAGACTAATGATTTCTTAACAGGAAAAACTTAGATCAAGGACCTAATAGCCTCTAAAGGGAAAAAAGATCATTCAGGACCTCTGATCTGACAGCTGAGGATTCATGCTCAGATCTTGCTGCTTTCCATCATAGCTGGCACAGATGTTGGATGCATCTCCAAGTTTCTAAGACTAACCTCAGAGAAGAGCTTAAGAGAACATTCCAGTGGGCATGCAGAAGAAAAAAACGGGCTCAGCTATCCTAGTTGCATTCTGGCCTCCTTCCTTCCCTGTCCAGAGAGCTGTAGTTTGATGGCCAAAAGAGTCCATCCAGCTGCACTGCAGGGTGGGAGAAGGGAAGAGGTGAAGATCGCTTCCACATTCCTCTTGCCCTGTGTACGGATGCCTGCAATCAGAGGCTTATCAGCACTCCCATTGAACTGCACCCTACCTTTATGTTATATGTTTATTTCTATGTATGTAATTACACAGGTTATCATTTTTCTGATATGGGGAATTATACTATCTGAAGAGAAACCAGAGTATACCAGAGTCTTTCTGTTTGTTCAGATGAGAAAAGTGCACATTTCTGCATGTATTTTTCAAAACTGTGCACTTTCCCCCACTAACCAAAGTATTAAAATGCTTTTTGTACAATTAAAAATATGTATTTAAAAAACAAACAAAAATATGATTTCCCAACACAACTGCAAGTTTGGAAACATGCAAAATTGTTTCAGAAAACAATGCTATTCACATTTATGGTGAACAGAGAAACTGAAACAAAATTCCTGTATCCCCATCACCAGTTCTCCTTCAAGTTGGAAAGAATGCCATGGCCCTTCAAAGCTTCAATAAACATGAAACTTAACAAATTTATTTATGTATAAGAGCTAAAACAACTATGATATTGCTTTTTTCACAATATTAATGAATTGTAAACATATTCATTAGAAAAAATATCCATCTACTTACAGTAAGACATATCCTAACAAATGAAACCCACAATTATTTGAGAAGCATAATTTAGGCAATTCATATAATTTTGCCACACAACCATTAAATTGCTTGCTGTGGGCTGTCTTTGCGTATTAGCTGTGAATCTCTCTTCCAAATGCACTTTAGAAATGTTTCAGACAGAGGAAGAGAAAACAATAATTCTGGATGTCACTGCACATGTACTATTTCATGGAAGATAAATGTGTGGGCATATGTGTAAATAGCAAGTAAACAAGTCAATATTGGTTTTGGTTTCTAAATGGAACCTTCCATTTGTTCCAAGGCATTTTTCCTCCTCATTTATTACTTTCTACAATGAAGAAAGGAACACAATACTCAGAATACTTTCTTTGCTGTTTACACAGATGACCAATATTCAATGTGCTTAAAAATCAATGTGCCAAAGAAGCTGCAAAGCACAGATGGTGACAAAGGCTAACTAAAGCAAACAGCAATAGAAGCTGGACTGTGGAGAGCAGTGATGCACAACCTCAGGCCCCTGCTCCAAATTCAGCCCACTCCTCATGTCCCCAGGTGGCCATTCCCTCTCCCAGAACTCCTGATGATTTCACCATTTCCCAGGCCTTGTGAGTCCCCCACCCCTGTTTAAAAGATTGCAGTGCCTCTCCTACAGATAAGAGCTTTAAGCTGAGATGTGCTGGCATTCTTGGAAAGTGACTTCCCCTTTTGCCTTTACCCTAGTTCCATTTTATCTTCAGCTGTGCCTGCCACTGGGACATGGTCCCTGGGAGCTCTGAATTTGGCTCTTGTGCTGCTGGTTTATAGTATACTTTTAGCATACTTTTCTACTGGGCACAGGAATCAAATAGATCCAAAAGAAACTAGATTAACACCAAACTAAACATACTGCCTTTTGTGCCAGAGATAGACCAAATGCTTGGCATGAACAAGGTCCTATGTTTGATCCCTGGCAACTCCGAGCATGCTCTGCAGTGACACTGTTCCATGCAGACAGTGTGGAGTTAGAAGGACAAGGACCTAAGATCTGACACAGAATGTCAATTTCCTATGAACCTGTAACCTGTATTTGCATTATCCTCTAGCAGGCATCCTTTCTAGGGTCATACAAAAGCTTTTATCACAATCACGTGTTTACTTTTCCTACAAAGTGTGGATATTTGAGGTTGCAATGTTGAAAAGATTTGCAGCAGCATCAAGTAAGTTCAGATGTGCAAAAATTCACAGAAAATCTATGGTTTGCATATGCCCAGCCCCTGGGGGCAGCTCACATTACTGGTTTCTCAGCTACAAACCTCTAAGTAAGCCTAAAGCGTCCAAATTCTTCTGATTTCAAGTGAAGTTTGACCATTTTAGGCTTCCATGGCAGTTTGCTACAATTATGAAGGCCTAAAGTGGCCAAATGTAAAACAACAGCATATATACATTCAGGTACAGTACAGATATACACACCCCAAAGAATTAAGCACTTCACAGATAATTACATACAGAGAATTGCAATTAAACCAATGCAAATAAGTTTACAATGCCACTGGCCAATTTAATAAGCAACATCAATTAAGCAGGCTGGCTAAATTTTATTTTGAGGAATCAATTTAACAAAGGGGATGTTCACTTAACCAGACTTTCATATTTACTTCCTTTTGCTGGACCAATGCCCATGTGCACAAAGGGCTGCCCAATGAATTCTCTTGGCTTACAGCACAAAGCTATGCACACAGTTTGAACACGTAAGAACATTGGATCAGAACATCTTGCCTCCTAAATCAACTTTGATAGCAGTTACTTGTTTGGAGCCTGAAGACTGAATCAAGCTACAGGATGGCATTCTTCCCTGCTGCATGGAACAGGGGAAGAACAGACTTCCCTTGCCCCTGTGCCTCTGAGCCCAAGGCAGGCATTGTCAAAGCTATGAAGATTGCACATTTGAATAAGGTGTGGACAACCTGGAGCACTGGCTTTTAATCCTTTTATCTTTAAGTCTAAACAGGGTCACATGTTATCATGACTGCAATGCAAGTCTTTCTTTCAGAATATGGTGGTATAAGATAACGTCAATTAATAAATAAAGCAAAACTATTTTCAATATTTTCTTTTTCCTTCCTGATTATACTAATCTACCACAGCCAAAATGGCTTTCAAAGATAAATAAATGTGTCTTCAAGCTCATCCCCATTAATTAATCAATGCTAATTCACCAACCAATCAAATCCATTAAAATTTAGAGTCCTGAAATTAATAAATCACAGACTAGTGTCTCCTTGGATAAAATGCATTATACATTCATGTTTAGTCCAATATCTACATAGTGGTGATTTATCATGTTCACTCTTTCCAAACATGGCAGAAGCATTTCAAATGCACAGTGGAAAAATGTAGATAAGGCCAAGTTTCATGTTGTTGTTCTTGAGGTTTGAAAATAACTTCCAGGTCTTTGAAAAAGAAATTTCATGTTTTCACTCTAGCATTCTATCTGGTTTAGACGAGCAGTTCTACACTGCATTTGTTTGTGTCCAGATACCAGCAAACTTTATTTGGTCATCTGTATCCACAAACCCTTTTGCAGATTTTCCACCTCCATTTGGAGATTTGTTCTCCTTGTGTTGGCCCAGATGCATACACGATTCTTCTGATCTGATCTTTTCAGTCAAAGATGCTGATGTGCGTATATTTGTTTGCATGCATGGAGTGGTGTCTTGCATTGAATTGAAAGGAAACCCATAACAGGCACATGGAGATGCTCATTGATTTATGGACGGCAGGGCTTGCTTGGTAGTGACACTGCTGATCGTCCAGCACAAGGCCAAGAGTATTTACTCAGATGGAAGTCCCAATCAGTTCAGTAGGACCAAGTGTGCTTAGGATTGTAGCCTTAAGCTCGGGTATGAACCAGGAGTTGCGTTTTGAGCAGAGAACCTGCTGTTGATCTGGTCTCGCCCCTTATTGGTCAGATGCATAAACCTTTCTCCAAATTCTGAGCTTGAGAACAACCAGTGCTTCCTGTGTCCAGCTGAAATTGGGTATGCAGAGTGATGACTGGTTGGTCCTTATGACCTTCATAACATCACATCTCCCACCCTTGCCAAGAGCAATGTTCCAACTAGGACAGAAAACTGATTACAATTATTTTTCCCAAAGCACCTAATAAACATTTGAAGCATTTATACTATACTTTTCAAGTGGAAAGGATCCCAGACCAGCTTTTGCATTAATAAAAAAAAGGACAGGATTAAAATCTAAAAAGATGTAGCATAACAGGAAAAGGAAGACAGGAAAATTCTTACACCAGTCTTAATGCCATAAGGTTCTTACAAGATCCAGCGTCAATGGTATAATGCAGCTGGGCATAGTTGATCTCCTGACCATGTGGACTGGAAACCAGTCAAAGAAAGGAGGAATCAATCACTTCAGGTCTTCTAATTGAGGTCCTTCCTTCAGCATCCTAATGAATAGGTCTGCTGTATGATAGTTGGGAGAGAGGCAAAGTCTACTGAATCTAGCCACTGAGGAAGGCTGATGGTAACCCACAATCCTTCTCTGCCCTGTTTCAGCAGTGGTAGACAACCTGGTACACTCTAATGTTTTAGACTACAACTCCCAAGAGTTTCAGCCAGATTGGCCATGGGCAGATAGTCAGAATCATACTGTTCCATGCAAAGACTCCAGTATTTCTGTTAACTTTGCAGAGATTATATGCATTCACAAAGGCAAGTATTACCTAGTTTTCCCCCTGCCAAATGAAAGATTTAGTGATCCTTTTATTTCCTGACTGCTTAATTTGTTCATGAACAAAATAAGGGGCTTTGGTGAGGGGCTTTGACAA